TGGGCTTGGACGGTAGGCTGTAGCAATGATGGGCGCATGACTTCATGTGTCTCTCTTCTTACCCTGATGACCCATCACTCTGGAACAAGGTATCTGGACACATCAGACCACATGACCCTTTTTCCATTGCTCTGGAGTCCAATCTTTATGCTCCCGAGCAAATTGAAGCCTTTTAGATTTACCGATTAGTGTTTTTCGTAAGGCTACACAGCTGTTTAGTCCCATTTCCTGTCGTTCTTTTTGCATTGTGCGCGTGGAAATGCTTTTACAAAGCCGTGAGTTCTACTGTTGATTTTTTACGATTTGATTTCACCAAAAGTGATCTCCGACAGAGCTGTAGCAAGCTATTTTTGCACCTGAGGCAAGAACAGAAAATTGTGCCCCCCCAACCGACGTGTGATGTCACCCAACGCCATGCACGCACCACATCATGTGCCCTGCCTCCAGGATGGTGGCACGCACGCGCAGAATGTGCTGCGGCGAAATCCAATAAAGCATAACAATGTGTTTCGTTTGACGAAACTAATGAAAACATGAGAGTAAAATATTTACTATCATCCAGTTATCAATGGGTAGAAGCCTCTATAGTGAGTGCTTCCACCCATTGAGAAACTCATGAATGAACAGGAAGTGATGTAAAGCACTTCCTGTTCATTCATAACTGGGGACACATAGTACTCTGTGTCCTCAGTTATTTATAAACACTGAGGTGATCAACTGATCACTCCAGTGTTTGCTCTGCACAGGGGATCGGTAAATATGACAGATCTTTACCAATCCTCCGCTCTGCCACCCTGAGCGCTGAAGCCGGCGGAGGAGGGAGCGCTGTCACTTCAGGATGGCCAAGCGATGAGGAAAAAGAGAGCCACCGGCTGTCAGGTCCTGGCTGAGTGGCCCTCTTTCTCCTCACTGCTTGGCCTTCCCAGATGACAGCTCCCTCATCCCCCCCACCCCCTGCCGGCTGTAGCGCTCTATTTCTCATCAGATCCCCACTGCCTCTGCCTATACAGGTGGGGGAGAGCAGCGGGGATCTGAGGAGAAGCTGAAGGAGCCTGTGCCACCCCTCTTCTCCCTGCCGAGCCGTGGCTGTGTTGGCCGCCTGGCACCCCTGTTACCATGGCGCCCTGTACTTGCCATGGCAACCGGGGCCCAGCCAGCCGGCCCTGACTGCGCCCCCTTTCAGCTGCCTCTCACTCGCCTCATGGTAGCTACGGCACAAATCTCCAATCACAATCATTCAAGTTTTTTTTTCAATGATGATGGTTCACCGCTATCCTTCCAGGTTTTAATAATGCGTTGCACAGTTCTTAGCCAATTTTAGTACTTTCAGCAATCTCCTTAGGTGTTTCTTTCCTTGATGCAGGCCAATGATTTGACCCTTCTGAAACAGAGTTGCATCTGTTCCATGACCACAGGTCCTCTGATGCTGGTTGTTTAAGACATTAGAAGCTCCTCACTGCATGTCAGGTGCGTCTGCGGGCAAGCAGCACGGAGGGAACCCGCTGGCAGGAAGTAGCTTGAAAAAGTCCGAAGGCAAATTAACAAGGGGCAGTCCAGTGCAATCCGAGGTCGAGGCAGGCAGCAAAGGGTCAGATGCGACAGTCGGTCCAAGGTCGGTACATGGGAAGTCAGCAGAGGGTTCAGGAAACTGGCAGCAAGGCACATAGGAGGGGAGCTTCGTATGTCACACCAGGAGGTGGAATAACTCAGCAATAAGCCAGAGGTCTGGCCCAGTTCTTATAGCCAGGGGGTGTGAGTCTGCCCCCTGGTCACCTAGGCAACCAGGAAGCTTCCTTCCCCGAGAGCCAATGGCAGGCGAGAGGCGGTGTGTGTGGGCTCGGAAACCTCCCCCGCCAAGGCCCACACCTGAGGCGTAAACAGGAGCATGGGCGCTATGCACACGTTCCCGGGATGCGTGCGCAGGCTTTGTACCGCGCACCCGCTCGCGCATGCGCAGTGGCCGTTGGAGCGCTCGTGGTAATGACAGGCCGAAGGGAGGCCTGCACCCTACGCCGTACCCTCTGACCCCGTGGGGAGGTGACGCCCCCGGCATCCTGACACTGCATTAGTTCGGGTTAAATAACTTGTTTGCAGATGAAACGTATTAATCACTGCAGTCATTATTCAGTGGAAGGCTCGCGCCTATTTGCCTTTCTTAGGTCAGATGATGACTGGAACCTGCAGAAGCCGCTGATTCCCGATGTTGTTTAAATGCTGGGATCAATAGCTGCTGCCTCTGAGCTGTGTTAAAACAGCACCTTATACCCGAGTGATTAAAGCCCATTTTCCCTTTTAAAAAACACCACAAAACACCCTAAATTCTCCTTCCCCGTTGGCTCCAATACATTTCACCAAAAGGGCCGAATTCCAACGAAATCTCTCCATTCCCAACAAAAAAAAAATGACTCATCCCCAATCCAGACTAGAAGTTGGGGAAGAGCCGGCAGTAAACACCATGTAGGAAGCGAAAATCTTCTCCACGCTGTTTAAAACTAAAGTAAAACATGTTGGGTGGTCTTTTTGGATGCGTGTGCCCATGTTGCGCCTCGACCAACGCCCCCAGCCCTTCCCCCATCGCATTACATGGGTTTATTCCTATAGTCACAGCAGGGGCTGCAAAGTCATAATTAGGTCACGTTAGGTACAAGCTGCAAAGCAATCAAATCAAATCTAGGTCATTATATCGGCCGCTCGATCTCGTGGATGAGGAAATGAATTCGGCAGCCCCGGCCGCTCGCTCGGCCTTTTCCTATAAATGAGCAGAAATTGTGGCAGATTGTTTGAGAGGTTTCCTGCTTGCGTTTATTATTGTAACTGCTGTGCGGGGTGAATTGGCCATTAGCGGTGTCATTCCTGGAGGTAGCTTAGCGGGAGACACTAATGTGTATTGTAGTTCATGTAGTTCATATGATACAATACAGGGCTGATGGTCCTTATAAAGAACTACTTGTCCCTCCTTGATCAGCTCGGTTAAGGGCAATGCAGAGTCTATAACAATGTGGTGTAGAGAAATGAAAGTAGAGAATGTAGCATTGAGAAGGAGAGTATAGAGATTTATAAATAATAGAGGTCAGATCATCGGTAGTCCAGGATAAGGGCCCATTGGCAGTGGCATCACAAGGGGGGTGCGGCCCACACCGGGTGACGCCAAAATGACTGACAGCCGTTTTGGTTTTACCCACCAGCTGCACGATAGAGGGAGGGGACCCAGAGGGTATACCTTTCACCCCCCGGGTAAATGTCCCCTCCTCTCTTTGGCAGCGTCCATCACCAAGATGGCCACTGGCAGATTAGTGCATGTGACGTCATTACACATGACGTCCCAGCGGGTGACACCCGATGTATGCCTGGGGACCCCCCTGCCCATTGGTGAGCCGGTCCCTCCCTTTAGAAAGAACTCTCCCTATATTTCTATGGGCACTCCACTAGGGAGTCAGTGACACCATAATGGGGGACTCACCGCTCCAGCAATAGTATATGAAGAACTAATCCAGGAGGTTTTATTTACAATATTGCTCCAGCTATCATTTCGGGACTTTTCATATGATTATGAAGGTGACACGAGAAATACATAAAATACTTTAAGTGACATGTTTGGGAGAGGCCTTAAAGCTGTACGTGGCATTACAGAATGGCACAATGTTCATGGACAGGCTCAGCCATACTTTACTGTGACAGTGTGTATTCGACTGTCGATTTTTTTAGCTCCTCTAAAGGTGCCCATACACCTTACGATTATCGAACGATTGTCGTATGCGATCGACTTTTCGTCCGATAATCGTATGTGTGCATTGCAGTGTCCGACCGACAATACTGTACAATCGTACGACTTTTGACGGTCAAGCGTGTTTGAAAACTTTGCTAGATCGTACGATTGTCATAAGGTTGCTGGCGTTTCCGTCCGTCAAAAGTCGCACGATGTACACTGAGCTTGCGCTAACGAAACTACGGCAAATCAATTACCGCATTTCGTCCAGGTGCTTTTAGTTAATTACGGGTAAATTAGTCTTGCGATCATCGGAGCAGGATGGGGCTGCCGTACGAAAATCGTACGACTGTTCGATCATCGGACGAAATGTTTCGTCCGATAATCGTAAGGTGTATGGGCACCTTTACATACAGTAGAACTCCAATCTGATCATTTTGTAGGTAGTTTTAGCTGCAACAGATGCTTTTTTAATTAATCAAGCATTATAGGCCTGCTATGACGTGTAGCTAGAAATTGGCCAGAGGTTTGATGATACCATCCCTGTTCTCATTGATTGCTACAATGTACTGCTCCTGGAAAACTCTCTTAAACTCTCAGATTCAACTATGCAGAAATTGGCCAGCAGCAGAACAGTTTTATCCCTAAAAATGTTATTGATGTATGTAGTATGCCCTGTCTTTCCTTCGCATTTGCTGAGCTGTCAGAATGACAGCCTGGAGTTGCTGAGTTGCTGTGTAAGCTGCTTTTTAAAAAAAAGAACCAACTGACACAGTGTTTATAAACATTGATCAGAGGGAGATAGAGAGATACAAAGTAACATTGTTTATAAACATTGATCAGAGGGAGATAGAGAGATACAAAGTAACATTGTTTATATATATTGATCAGAGGAAGAGATAGAGAGATACAAAGTAACATTGTTTATAAACATTGATCAGAGGAAGAGATAGAGAGATACAAAGTAACATTGTTTATTTTTTAATCGATTCTGCTTCATGCGGATCATGTTTTTTTAAATTTATTTAAAATTCATATAGAGTCCAAAATATCAATAAAAAAATCAATGTGACATTAAAGCATGAGCCTTGTGGTGTATGTCCCTAGGTGTGCTCTATATTCTGTTTGCAGCGCCCCCTGATGGTTCGGAAGCAGTATATAATATATGATCCTAAAATACAGAGCAGCAAGCAAACCCCCAAAAGTGTGTCAGAAAGCACATGTATGTGTTCATGTTATCTATGTGCTCCCCCAATCTCTGATCTCACCCTTGTTTCCTTCCTCTTCCCTGCAGATGGAGGTTGTCGGTCAGAATGGGACGGGATTCTGTGTTGGCCGGAAGGGGAGCTGGGGAGTTTCGTGTCCACGCCTTGCCCCAAATATATCTACGACTTCAACCACAAAGGTAACATACAGTGCCATGGAGGCATGTGAAGCAATGGCAGAAACTTGTCGTTATTACAGTCATGTGACATGTGCAATGTAATATTTTTTCAAGGCAATCCTTAAAAATGGTTGCCATTGATCTATGTAATGTACAGCACAGTTACATAGTCCTGACTGCTGCACTCTTTTTGCTGTGCTGTACATTACATACTCCTGGCTGCTGCTCTTTAGAGGCTGTGCTGCACATAACACTCTTTTAACAACTTCACTCTGTACACAGTGCTGTATATTACATTATTATTATTATAATACGGGATTTATATAGCGCCAACAGTTTGCGCAGCGCTTTACAATATAAGGAAGACATTACAGTCACAATACAATTTAAGACCAGATGGTGAGGAGGACCCTGCCCCTGAGGGCTTACAATCTAAAAGGGAGGGGCAAGTGATACATGAGGAGGTAGCTGTGTGGGGATGAATTGTTTGAGAATGTGATGGTTGAGAGGTCAGGTTGAGGTGGGATCGGCTTCCCTGAAGAGATGAGTCTTAAGGGATCGCCTAAAGGCAGTCAGTGTGGGAGATAGACGGACAGGTTGGGGTAGAGAGTTCCATAGAATGGGAGACACTCTAGTGAAGTCCTGGAGGTGAGCATGGGAGGAGTTGATGACGGAGCCGGAAAGCAGGAGGTCTTGTGAAGAGCGGAGGGGACGGGTAGGGTGATACTTTGAGACAAGGTTGGAGCTATAGCTGGGGGCGGAGTTGTGGATGGCTTTGTACGCGGTTGTTAATATTTAGAATTTTATCCTTTGGGCTATAGGAAGCCAGTGCAGGGATTGGCAGAGGGTGGTGGGGGATGGAG